AGTTATGGTTTGCTACTGTTTGTGCGTTTTTGCAACACGTAAGGGGGTAACGGGGCGGGGGAGGAGGGAGGAACAGGAGGAGGAAGGCAACAAAAAAGATATGAGGAAGACAACGGGGAGAGAACGGAGAGGCCGGCCTGAGCTGCGGCCGTAGGGCCAAGAGAGTCCAGAAGGGGCTCCCCGTGCAGGGCGTCAGAGGTTGGACACCGTCCAGGGACTCTTACTCTTACGCTTACTCCTCCTCCTCCTCCTCTCCTCCTCCTCCTCTTCCTCCTCCTCCTCCCTCCTCCCTCCTCCCCCTCCTCCTCCTCCTCCTCCTCCTCCTCCTCCTCCTCCTCCTCCTCCTCCTCCTCCTCCTCCTCCTCCTCCTCCTCCCCCCCCTCCCTCCTCTTCCTCCCCTCCTCCTCCCTCCTCCCCCTCCCTCCTCTTCCCCCCTTCTCCTCCCTCCTCCTCCCCTCCTCCTCCACTCCTCCTCCCTCTCCTCCTCCCTCCTCCCTCCTCCTCCCCCTCCACCTCCTCCCCCTCCTCTCCTCCTCCTCCGTCCTGCCTCCTCCACCTCCCTCCCTCCTCCCTCTCACTCCTCCTCCTCCTCCTCCTCCACCTCCCCTCCTCTCCTCATCCGTCCTCCCCTAAGTTTGGTGCGCAACCCGTGACAAGGATCAACTTTTGTGGATCCCCTTCGCTGTGGGGAACGTGGCCCGACGAGACCCTCAATCGTCCTCTGAGGCGTCTGGCTGGGCAGGCTCACCGTGCCGTGTGGCACAAACGCATCCTGCTTAATTTCAACGCCTCCAGAGGCGTTGGGCACGTTTGCAAGAGGAGGAGATAAAACGAATGCTGGTCACCTCGCTTTTCTATAGTAGTGCTTCGCACTTCGCACGCCCCACAATATATACACGTGCTTCGCACTTGCCTGGCCTGGGCCGTGGAAAAGGATTGTGGCCACGAAGAAAAAACAAGAAAAAAAAAAAGTAAAAAAAATGTAAAAGAGCAAAAAAAAATAAAAGCATACAAAGAAAAAAACAACGAAAGAAGAAAAGAAAAAAAAGAAAAAATCGTTTCCTACAATAACGAGGGGTCGAGCGCAAGCGTGCATCGCCAGCGCAAAAACTACAGCAAACACAGCACTAACACCACGCACAAAACACCAGCAACAAACATGACATATCGCAAATCCGACACCAGCGAAACAACAACAAATAACAACACCATTCCGACGCCAGCGAACACGACAACAACGGTTTCGTCAACATCAACGACAACAATAACCAGCAGACGTCATCGATAACAACAGCAGCTCGATCAGGCACCAACGAAAAATGCAGCAGCGTAAGTCTCACACCAACGGCAAGATCAGCAACAACACTAACTACTCCAGCGAAAACAGCCGCCATATAACAATAACACGCATACACCATCGAGCAACACCTGCAACAATATCATCTACGGTAGCATCACCACCACGCGCGTGGTATTGCAACGAAAAAACAGTCGTGAACATCAGGCACGCACAAAAAACAACAAGCCAAACCGACGCCAACGAAATTCAGCAACAACACAATCCAACCCGCATGTGTTGACCTCGGGTGTAGCTGAGATTTGCGAGTATACATCGCGCGTGCGACGGCACCGCTCGATGTCGCAATGTTAACAATATTGCCCATCATTGCTCCGCTACCAAGTCGCAAGATTTTGCGTCTTGACGCAAGACGCAAAATATTGCGACGAAACAACCTCAGGGTCGTTGGTTTACGACGTCGGAGCTGCGGCTGGCGATGGGGGCCCCTTCGACGGCAACCGCGGTAGCGATCGCGGGCGCCAATTGCCAGTTCAGCACGGACGCCCCGCCCCTCCCTTCCGGACCCGGGCGTCCCAGGTGAAGCAGATGGGCAACGCCATGCACGCGCAGAGTCTCGGGGGGCAGATGCTCATCGCCGTGCTCAAGCTGGGGCCGCTGATGACCAAGAGCAAGGTCGTTCGGCCGCCTGCTGACGGGGGCGCGCCTCCCCCAGGAGGCACTCCGTCCGACGTCGAGCGTGCGCCGTCCGACGACCGCCCCATGGCGAAGAGGAGGGCTCTGCCTCCTCCTCCAGTTCCTCTCTTCGCGGACGACTCTGGCAGCGCCAGTGCCAGTCCTTCGCCTTCGGCGGCGACGGCTACTGCGGCTACTACGGCTACGACGACGAGCGCTGCTACGACCTCTGCCGCTGACAGTGCTGGCAGCGGTGGTGCTGGCGGTGCCGCTGCCGCCAGTGGCGCTGGCAGCGCCGACGAGGGCCCCCCCCCCGGCAAGCGCCTGCGGCGCCGCAAGACGACCGTGAGGTCCGACGAACTGAACGAGGACCCTGGGCCCCCATCAACCCCTAAAGCGTGCTTGGGCCCCCCGTCAGGTCACTCTCCATATACTCCTCCACCTCTCCTCCTTCCCCTCCTCCTCCTCATCCTCATCTGGGACCCCGCGCCCACAGGACTTCCTGGTCCGCTCGGAGGCAGCGAGCGAGCCGCCGCCGGGCGCGACAGAGTGAGATTTAATTTCATTTTCATTCACGAGGGAGATTTTGTATTTTGTCTGCCCAGGTTGCCACTGAAGTTGCACGCTACACCTGAGCTAGGCCACCAAAGGCCCAAGGCCCCATCGGGGCCCTCTCGTCATCTTCGAACTCTTCGGAAGACTCTTGCACTCCAGATGCTGTGCGCTTTGTTGTTGTGGGTGATCCACTCAACATGCCGTGCTTTAGGTGTGGCTGTTGTGTAACAGCCCAGGAGGGCTTGCCCATTCGCTTGTGGGTTGCAGTGGGCCTCAGCCGTCGGCGCGGATGGACGCGCGCGCCTGGAGATCCATCCCCTCGAGCTGCTCTGAGAGAGAAAAAAAACGATCAACGATTGAGATATACTCGGTGAGGCGAGGCTGCGGGGCCCGGGGCCTGGATGATACGCACCAGTTTTTCGAGCTGCGCCCAGCCGTGGCGACGAGGCTGGATGAGGGGATGATGGGATGATAGGGGGAATGGAAGCGGCGCCCCGCCCCCCCCCTCCCCTCTCTTCGGAGTATTCGGCGAGATGCCGCAGATGCCGATCGGGATCGGCACCAAGAGGTGCGGCTCGCCGCGCCTGCAGCGGATGGAGGGAGGGAGGGAGGGCCGCCCTTCCGTCCCTGGGACCGCCAACCCTGAGCCCGCCTCACCCCCCCCCTCCTCCTTGTCCTCCTCCTGATCCTCCTCAGCCTCCGCCTCCTCCTCCCCGCCCACCTCCACTTTCAGGCGCTCGCTGCTCGCTTTGCTCGCTCGCTCGCCCATCTCATCTCGGGGCCCCAGCAGGGCCATGCCCGCCGCACATCTGTCTCTGTTTCTAGCATCCCAGCCCAGGGCCCTGCCCCCCGCCGCGGTGGAATTCAGGCGCCCCCGTGCACCGCCGCGCGGTAACACCGCCCCCTCTGCGGTCGCAATGGCCCCCGGCGGCGGCCGCGTGCGCGCGCGTACTCGGACGACTGGCGGCGCTGCTGCGGGCCCGAGCGGCCCTGCCAGCAGCGCCGAGGGGTCTGCCCCTGGCAGCTTCGAAGGCGGGGGGCTAGAAAGACCCCCCGTGTGACACTCGGCTTCTCTGGAGGATGGCGGTCGAGCTTTGGGCCCCCCCCCGCCCCCTCCCCCCCCCCTCCTTCGTGCCAGGTGGGCGCTCGCCCTGGGGCCCGAAGGTCGAGGACATCCGGATCTTCTTCCCGGGCGTCGAGGGGCGCGAGCTTCAAGACCAGGTCCGCAGTTGGTGCGTGACGAAGGATGCCAACCAACCAACCAACTTCCTCCTCCTCCTTCCTCCTCCCCCTCCTCACTCCTCCCCCTCTCTGCTGTCCGCATCCTCCGCGCCTCCTCCCTTCCCTTCCTCCGGCGGAGCTCTCCCAGTCCATCGTCCCTCCTCCTCCTCCTTCTCCATCCGCCCTCCCCCTCTCCCCCGCTCACACTCATCATCATGCTCCTGCTCCTCCGTCGCTTCGTCGTCCTCCTCCTCTCCTCCACAAATCCTCGTCTTCCTCAGGTCTTCCTCAGTCCTCAGTCCACCTACTACCTCCTCCTCCTCCTTCCTCCTCCCTCCCCCCCCCTCCTCTCCTCGCCCGCATCCCTTTCTGAAACTTGTTGTTGCCCTTTTGTGGAACCCATCAGGAGCGCGAGACCATCCCGTGGTTCAATGATGCCAATGAGAAGAACCTCATCCGCCACCCGCTGAACGACAGGGGCCAGGCTGACACCAGGCGCCGGTACAAGATGATATTCCTCAAGAAGGGTTACGTGCTCGGCGCCCGCAACGAACCCACGGTGATCACGATGGATGGCGGCTCGAAGTACTGGGTGGTCGGGGGAGCCCACGTGATCGAGGCGGCGTACGACGCGCGTGCGGAAGCGCCGAAGAACCCGCAGATCACCGCCAGCTTCAAGACTGGCATCGAGGTGACAGTGCTGGATCACCGCAGCCCGCCTGGAGTTATCCACTTCTTCAAGAAGGAGGGCAACGAGCTGAACGGCGCGTCGTCCAAGGGCCGCTCGATCATGGAGTGCTTCAACAAGGTTTTGGCGGCGGACGCAACTTACAAGGACGAGCGCGACGGCGGCGACTCCAGCGATGACGACACCAAGAAGAAGAGGAAGCAGAAGGGCGAGACCGAGAAGATGACGAAGGGCCAGAGGGTGGGGCCGGGGGGGGGGGGGGGGAAGGGGGGGGGGGGGGGGGGGGGGGGGGGGGGGGGGGGGGGGGGGGGGTGGCGGGGGGGGGGGGGGGGGGGGGCGGGGGGGGGGGGGGGGGGGGCGGGGGGGGGGGGGGGGAGTCTCGGAGGGGGGGAGGTGGGATGGGGGGCGTGGAGAGGGTATCAGGGCTGGGGGGGGGGCCCGTGCAGGGGAAGGGGTAATTCGACACGTACGACGGTTTCGCCTACTATGGACTGTGCAGGGGTGTGGTGGGTCTATCTCTACAGGTCTAAGTCCTTCAGTTTTGGACAGCCTGGGCATCTGGAGCGAGTTCGAGACCTACATGAACGCGCACTGCTGCTTCTCAGACCACAGGCTTTCAAACAACATGGCCTTCTTCATGTTCGACCAGGTCATGAGCCAACTTGCGAAGATGGGTTTAATGAAGATGGCGGTCCATGTGTTGAAATTTGCGGTGCCCACGAACGATGGCGTCCCATGGCTCTTGCAGGGTCGAGCAGACGCCAAGAAACTCGTCAAATTGGCTTGCGTGATGACCGAGAGCAAGGCGTTCCAGGCAAGCCGGGCTGCCGCTTCGAAAAACGAGAAGGAGGCGAATGAGGCGAAGGAGCCGAGGAAGAATAAGCAAAAGAAGGCCGCCCGCTCGGAGCTGGTGAAAGAGTCTACCGCAAGCGGCCAGGAAGTGACGTACCTGCACGACGCGCAGAATGCGGTGGAGTTTACGACTGAGGTGCTGAAGCCAGAAGAATTTACCGCTTTGAAGAATGAGATTGACAGGGCCACTGCCTGGTGCGTCGAGTTCGGCCTCAACGGGGTCGTGCGCCTACCAGCCGCGAAGGGCATCATGGATCGCAGCTCCCTGGAGATTATCTTCAAGTTCGAGAGGGGGCGCTTCCAGGATCTCAACGACGCGGAGTGCGAGGACGATGATGATGTCAAAAAGTATAGGCAGCACACCGCGAACGACTTCAAGTCTTACCGATGGTGGATGAAAGCACGCACTCAGGTCAGAACGATCCTGGGGGGGCTCATTGGCGAGGCCGCCCGCGACGATGACCCGGACCTTGATGGGGGGGATGGCGACGACGATGATGATATGGAGGCCGAGGAGCCTGTGGAGAGCATCGACGACAAGGAGATCGAGAAGGCGGCTAAATCTCACAACTGCCCAGACCCCCAGAGCTTCGCGACGCTGCGCCACTTGGTGGCATCCGTCGATGGCGGCGGCGAGTTGCTGGGCAGGACTAAAGCGTTTCTCACGGCCAATCCTGCCCAGCATATTACTGGTATTCGCGCAGTGTCATTGTTGAAGCGCATGCACGCTGCCTACGCCGGGGGGGGGCCGCGGAGTTGAGCAAAGTTTTGGTTGGGACGGATTCGCTCGACATCATCCGCATGGTCTCCGAGATCCCGGACGAGACGGTCACCCCCGAGAACAGCGACGTTCTGTTCGGCAGCGCGATCAACGCGCTGGTTAGCAAGGTCATCGGAACAACTCCTAGCTCCCCCCTCCCCATCCGCATCTCCCCTCCCCCTCCGATCGACCCAGACCCAAACCCAATGCCATTCCACCCGCCCGCCCCCCCTCCCCCGGCGGGCGCGGCGGGCCGTGTCGACGTCACCACGTCGACTCGTCTCGTCCAGCTCGCCCATGTCCAGGGCGGCCTCCCCTCCCGAGTCGGCCCGAGTCCTTCCTCTGCCTCTGCCCCTCCCTCTCTCTCTCTCTCTCTCTCTCTCTCTCTCTCTCATTCCCTCGCCCTCCAGAGACAGGGGCAAACATATCTGGCACTAAAGTGTCCAGCCGCTCCTCTTCTTGGCATCGTGACCTTCCCAACCCTCCCCCGTAACCTTCCCAGCCCTTCCTCCCCGCTTCTCTCTGTGCTCTGCTGCCCATTGCCTCCCTCTCCCTCTGAGCCTCTCCCTCCCTCTCCCTCTCGCTCCTCAGGCCCCTCTTCCTCTCTTCCTGGCTTCCTCTCCTCGTCTCTTCCCTCCCGGCCCTCTGATTCAAGTGGAGGTGGGGGGATGTCTGGGGCGCGGCGGGCCTGACAGGTCGCCGAGATCGCGCGGGGGCGCCTCGACAGCAGCGTCATCGCGCTTGCGAGGTGCGTCACTGCTTCCTTATCAGGGTGCCCCAATGTCGGCAGCCTGGTCGCCCTGCACCCCAAGGCGGGCGATGCCATCAAGTTGTTCGATAGGGTCGAGGTTGCCAACCACATCGCGACCTATCGCGCTTTGTACTTGGCTGGGTACCTGGAGGATGCCGCAGCCTCTTTGGCCGATTTTGCGGAGCTGAGGGGCATGTCTTGCACCCAGCTGCGGGCCTTCTGCGACCAGCTGAGGAACGCCGCCGCAGTGATCCAGTCTGCGATGCATCGCCTCGGCGGTGTCGAGCAGGGCACCGATTGGGAGAAGGATGGCTGGCAAGCCCACTGGTGCCATTTGGTGCGCCGCGCGGCGCCAATGGTACAGTTCGTGCGCAAGACCGATAACGAGTGGAGCCGCCTGGAGCCCACCCAGAAGACCAAGCGCGCCAGGTCGAAGGTAGAGGATCTCTGATCCGCCATCACCGAGGCGGCTGTTGACGTCGACTTCGACGTGTCCAAGGCGCGGGGCGCGGGGGGTGGGGGAGGAGGAAGGAGGCGGAGGACGAGGAGGGGAGGTCGGAGGAGGGATGGATGAGGAGGGGCGGAGGGGCCTGAGGAGGGAGGAGGATGAGGAGGAGGAGGGAGGAGAGGAGAGGTCGAGCGTGCCCAAAGGGGGCGCATCCACGAACGCATTCGCATCTGGACCCAAGTGCCCGCTGGCGGGCCCGACTCGGGCCCAGGGAGCTCCGGGGGCCGAGAGACTTGGATAGAAGCGCAGGGCCTATAGGGCCCTCAGGGGGGAGGGCGATGAGATCGGCGGAATTGTCCTTGCCCCCCACTAGAAGCCAACAAGGAGACCTTGGCGGCCGCCCTCGCCGATGTGGATATCGTGGCCATGAGGGGTGAGGAAGAGGAGAATGCCGCGACGTGGGGCGAGGCGATGGGGGGCCTCTTCCGCCGTGTCCAGCACCGCCCCGAGGGCGCGGCCCTGGTGGATAAAGGCATCGACTCGCAGGACTCCTACCCTCCTCCTACCTCCCTCTGGCTGGCTGCTGAAACTTCCCGCCCCACCCCCCCGCCTGGCTTCAGCGCCCGGTGCCTCGCCATCGCGGCCAGCGGCCAGGGGGGGCGGGGTGGGGGCGGGGAGGAGGAGGAGTGAGGTGATATGATGTAAGTAATGTTGTTGTTTACCCCTTCCCGCGTAGGAGAAGGAGACCGACGTCGCCGTCGTCAATGTCGACAGGCTGGCCCCTTCCAAGCGCCCGCTGGCCAAGGCGTATTTCGCGGCTTACAGGTTCGCGCTGGAGTTCGCGATCACCGTGGCCCGCTTGCAGTTCATCCACGTGGCCGACCCTCCCGTTTTCACGAGGCCCAACAAGCCGATCGCGTGCGCTTATGGTAAGGCGTTGCAGCCTGGCTACAAGCAGTGGACCCTGCCGCTGCTGGGGCGGGCTTTGGTCCAGCTGCAGAGCGGCGACCTTGGCTCGAGCAGCAAGGGGGCGAATCAGTACGTCGCAGGCACCATAAGTGTCCCGAGCGACGGGCTGGCGAAGAGCGCCGATGCTGCGTCGGCCATGCGGTTCAACATCGCAGTGGCACCAGGCGCCAACATGCTGTCGCCCGCTTCGCAGAGCTGCATGCCAGGCTGGCTCCTCAAGGTCGCGCGGGACGGCACGGTGCTGTCCCTATTGTTTAATTTTTTTACGGATTATTTATTATTTTTTACGGTTTCGTGTATTGTTTTACGGTATGGTTGTTTTGCCCATTCGTTGTACGACGTTCCAGGAAAGAGGTCAAGGTGCCTAAGCCCGCGGACATGCCGGAGGACGCTTTCTGGCCCGATACTCCCATGCGGATGGTGGAGTTGATGCGCAACCCGGAGTTCACGGCGCGATGGCATTAAATGATGAAATGAATGATGAGATGACGGAGGAGTAGGGGGGGGGGCATGAGGGGAGGAGGAGGGGGGAAGAAGGAGGTAAGGTGCGAGGTGTGAGCGAGCGACTTCCCTCCCCTCGCTGTCGGCGGGGGCAGGGTATCTACGGTATCTCACCCCTCTCGATGTCAATCTTATGTTGTTCCCTGTTGCTGCTCCTCCTCCCTCCTCCTCCTCCCCCCTCCTCCTCCCCCCCCTCCCTTCTCTCACTCTCTCTCCCTCCCTCCCTGGAGAGGCCATCGACGCGGACCAGGCTGCGGACAAGAGCAGCCCGCCGAACCCGAAGGCCCTCGTCGTGGGGCAGGTCTGCGACCTCGAGGGCGAGGGCGTTCTGGGACCCCGCTCCCGCAACGGTCGAGTCGATCGCCGCCGCGAAGCTCGAGAAGGAGCGGAAGCAGGCGCGGGCTGCCTGCAACCACCTGCTCAGCTAGCCGCCTAGCCAGGCTGGCGGGCATGATAGGCGGGCGGGCTGGCGACCCCGGGGCGAGAGGGGTCTCCCAGATGGGCCCGGGTTCCCCATTGGCCCTACTTAGGGCCCGCTGGGCGTGCTAGGTGGCTGATGGGGGTTTTCTCGTTCGGTGAGGGGGCTGTGAGATCCGAGCGCGGAGGCCCTCGTTGCAGCCGCGACCCCGGTGGGCCGATCGGGCCTCCACCATGCCAGAGGGGCCCTCAGGGGCGGGGGGCGCCTCTTAGAGTGTGCGCGCGGGGGGGTCTAATACAGCCACTCTTTTCTGAGTCAGGTCGTGGTCGTCGGAAGCCCTCCCTCAGCAATGCGAGGAGGATGGATGATGAGAGGGAGGTGGATGGAGAGGCGGAGGAGGAGGTGGAGGAGGGGGAGTAGGAGGGGGAGTAGGAGGATGATAAGGTGGGGCTGAGGAGGAGGAGGCGGGCGAGGCGGAGGAGGCGATGAGGACGAGGCTGAGGATGGGGATGAGGAGGAGGAGGAGGAGGAGGAGGAGGAGGAGGGGGAGGAGGAGCGGACACGAATGCGACCGACTCCACCCCCCCCCGCGCGCAGTGCATGCAGCAACAACCAGAATTCAGAATGGGATGGGTTGTTCGTCAGAGTGTAATCTTCTGACGGAGGGTCCGACGGACCCACTTTTTTTTCCCCCTACCCTCCCCCTTACTTCCCCCCCTCCCCCCTCCCTCCTCTCCCCCTCGCTCGCTCGCCGCTTGCTTGCATGCCCGCCGCGCCGCCTTGGAGACTCAGTCGCGCACTGGGCTCGGGGCGGGATCGCACGAAAAACTACCTACCCCCCCCCACCTCTCCCCCCCTCCCCTCGCCCCTCCCGCCGAGGAATACGAGGAGGGGGCTGGAGGGATTGGCAGGCGGGCGAGAGAGCGGCAGAGACAGAAGTAGTGGTTTGCACGGTCCTCGCCCCTCCCTCCCTCACCCGTTTCTCCCTCCACCCTCTTTCCTCCCTGGCCCTCCCTTCCTTCCCTCGCCCTTCCTTCCTCGCGCGTTCCCTCCCTCCCTTCCCTCCCTCCCTGGCCGTCCCTGGCCTCCTCGGCCTCCTCCCTCCTGGCTGGCGGCGCCGTCTCGTCCCTCGTCGTCGTCGTCGTCGTCGCCGCGGCCGTCGCCCGCGCGGGGAGGTGCGCCTCTCTCCTGTCCTCCCCTCCTCCCCCCTCCTTCTTTTTTTTGCGACTTCGGTGCAGAACCAGCCCGCGCGGCTTTGTATAATTATGTTGATACAACGAAATCACCACGCGAAAACTGTTGTATCATGTTTAATAGGCAACGAAAAACATTGCAATTTGCGCAACATGATACAACATCGTATGGGTGATTCGTGCAACATGATACAAAATCGCTTGGCTGGAACTTGTGGTTCGTGCAACATGATACAAAATCGTATGGGTGATTCGTGCAACATGATACAATTCGTGTCGGAGATTCCAATCGTTTCTGGCTTCGACATAAGCCGCTGGGGCCGAAAAGGCCCCCGACGCCCGCGGAGTAATTTGCAATTTCCTCCCGCCACTCTGTACCTTCCCATCTCTCGCTCCTCTCTCTCCGTCTCTCTCTCTCTCTCATCTCATCCTCTCATCTCTCCTCTCTCTCTCTCCTCTCCTCCCACCCCCCTCACTCAATCTCTCTCTCTCTCTCTCTCTCTTTCTCTCTCTTTCCATTTCTATTTCCATTTCTCTTGCTCTGTGTTTTTTGTGTGCTCTCTCTCTCTCTCTCTCTCTCTCTCTCTCTCTCCCTCTCTCTCTCTCATGTTGTTTTGTTGTTTTTTTTCTCTCTCTCTCTCTCTCTCTCTCTCTCTCTCTCTCTCTCTCTCTCTCTTTCTCTCTCCGCTCCTCCCCTCCCCTCTCCTCTCCTCGTCCTCTCACCTCACGCCTCCCTCTCCTCTCCTCTCCTCTCCTTTCCATGTATATATATATAATATATTATCACTCCTCTCCCTCTCTCCTTCTCTCTCTCTCTCCCTCTCTCTCTCTCCACTCTCTTTTCTCTCATTCTCCCTCTCTCCTCGTCTCTCTCTCTCTCACCCTCCTCTCCTACTCTCTCATCTCTATTTCTCCCCATCCCTCTCTCTCTATCTCTCAATCATCCTCTCTCTCTCTCTCACTCTCTCTCTCTCTTACTCTCTCTCTTCCTCTCATCTCGCTCTCTCTCTCTCTCTCTCTCTCCTCTCTCTCTCTCATCTCTCTCCTTCTCGCTCTCCCTCATCATTCTCTCTCTCTCTCTCTCTCTCTCTCTCTCTTCCTTCACTCTCTCCCTCTCTCCTCTCCGCTCATCTCTTCTCTCGTCCTCTCCTCTCCTCTCTCCCCTCTCTCTCTATAATATATAATCTATATATATATATATATATATATATCATATATGTGTCCTCTGCCTTGTATCTCTTCAATCTCTCCGGTCGCGCGCGCGCGGGCGGGCGCGCGGGCGGGCGCGCGGGCGCGGGGGGGGGGGTCTTGAGCCGCGACGCAAGACGTCGTGGGTGACCTAGAAGTTTGGACAGCAACGTCATCAAATGACGCATGCGACGCATCTCAGCTTTAAGTAAACGCGCAGTGTTTCCCAAATTAAAGAACGGCTGTGGGCCGCAACCTCAACCTTAGATCTGACCTAGCATTCTAACACAGCGATGCTCGGGGCGGCTGCTCCAACGGGCGAGCGCGACCTTGCGGGTTCCAGCCTGGTGAAGCTGATTGCGCATCGGGCTGCTCCGCTGTCCCCTGCTGAGCAGACCGACGGGTCCACTCGGCGTGTGACCAGCCCCTCTCAGCGTCGCCCTCCCAGGGGACATCCCCTCGCCCCCCCCCCCCCCCCTTCCTGCCCGAGGATCCTGACCCCCCTCTTGCAAAGGGTCTCCAAGGACTTCGCGCTCTGGCGGCCGAGCGCCTGCTTCGCTTTCCACGGCGGCGCCCGCCGCGAGGGGGTAGAGAGCAGCAAGAACGGGAGAAACGGGCGCGCCACCCGAAAGTCGAGTGACGAGGGGGGCCCGCCTGCAGGCTCCGCTGCCACCGTGGAACGCGCTACGGCGGCTGCGCGGGGCGCGGAGAGACGCGAC